CAGAGCTTAGCAACGTTTAGCCAGCCGACCTGTAAATCCTCAGCATAGATTTTCCCCTTGTCAAGTACTATCTGTTTCCATGGCAAAGAACAGCCGTATTTATGGTCATTCACAATCCAGTTGGGATATAAATTTATTTCCTGCAGAATCGCCTCTCCCTCCTGAATCGTAACGAGAACTCCAAGAGAAACAGTTGGAAGGATAAAATCCCTGGCAGCGAGTTTTTCGTGCTTTATAAAGCTCAGCCCTCTTTCCAGATGTTGCCAGGCCTTGATGTGAAATAGCCTGGGGCCTCCTGGCCCTAAGAGGGGCTAGCACATACCTGGAGCCATCCGAGAGGGGTTGGGGCCTCTGCGTACGGAAGGTCGCTCTTTGGAAGGAGCTCGTGCCCCCCTTTTCGCAGCCCCCAGCTGCTGAGCTCCTCCCCATCTCATACGGCAAAGCAGACCCCACTGAGTGATGTTCGCCCCGCGCTCCAGCACCTACTGCCCATTTGGCAGCTGGGCTGGAGGGTCTGTTAGCTCTGGCTGGTGTGGATGGGCAGCAGGCTGAGGAATCCCAGCCCTGGCCGGGAGCTGCCTGCCCGGTGCTGTGCACGGCCACTGACAACTGCTCCAGCAGTGCTAACCGGGACAGGGAGGTTGGTGACGGCGCTGAAGGAAGCAGCCTGGGATCCTCAGATGGGCTCAGGTTCGTGAAAACATTAAACGACTTTGGGATGGACAGAGCAGAAGGGGTAAACTTTTAGGATTTTGATGAGTAGTGTCCCTCAGGGGTCCGTACTGGGACCGGTGCTGGTTAATGTTTTCATCAATGACTTAGCGAGATCGAGCGCACCCTCAGCAAGTTTGTGGATGACACCAAGCTGAGCGGTGCGGTTGACACGCCAGAAGGACGGGATGGCATCCAGAGAGACCTGGACAGGCTGGAGAGGTGGGGTCATGGGAACCTCATGAGGTTCAACAAGGCCAAGTGCAAGGTCCTGCCCCTGGGTCGGGGTAACCCCCGG